ACCAAAGATCAGCAGTAGCACTGATACGCTATTTTGCCGGATAAAACTGGGTCAGGATGACACATACAAGATAAAAATATGTACAGGGTGAACCAGAATTAACTGACCCTTTTAATTTGTTAATAAATAAAAAACTAAGAATGTTATGAAGTTGAAACTTGTTTTATTTAAAAGATAATTTTTATGATAATATTGTATCCTAGTTTTCAGGATACAATAACTGACTAGGATACAATATTACATACAATATTTTAACTAATACATATTATTAATACATAATAAATATTTTAACTAATACAATAATAAAATATTGTAATAGGATACAATATTTTAACTGGGATACAATATTACCATAAAAATTTTCTTATAAATAAAACAAATTTCAACTTCATAACGTTCTTAGTTTTTTATTTGTTAACAAATTAAAAGGGTCAGTTAATTCTGGTTCACACTGTATTACAGCTTGCAAGCTCGCTATGACATAACTCGGCCAACTCTTCTCATACTCTCACGTGACTGTAAAGTCGGATAAGACAATCAGACCAGAAGCTGATTTTGATCAGGTGGCCAAGCAGACCCAGAATAACTTTAAGCCGAGTGTATCGAATTCTTCAAAAGCCTTAGCGGTGCCCAAATTTGGTTAAGAATCATCTTTTTTCTCTGAGAGATGGAACTAAACTCTAAAAAGTCTCTGCAAATTCTGGCTGATTCCGACTTGCATCAATAGAGCGCGGGACTACCAGAATACATACACTTAGAAATGAGTGAGAATTAGTTAAAATAGCGATGCATTTCTTGTACTTGATTGGGTCATTCTGACCCAGTTAGGCCGGGCTAAAGGGCGTATCAGTGCTACGTGGAGAAAACTTGGTCTCTATTTGAAAAATATGACCCATCTAATTTTCTAAATGATATGAAACGCAAGCAAACTAACATACAAGACAAGTAACACGTGACATTGGCGAAATTTCAACGTCATTAGGTGCAATATTTGCCACAAGTCCTAACAATTCCATAATCGGCCTTTTTTGTCTTCGTAACGAACCTCTTCCGTATGAAATTATTTAATTAAAACCCATATAATTAACTGTCCAGTATTAAGTGTGTTGCTGTGATTATCTACAAGAACTGTGCTATAAATTCTGAGATATATTACATTCTCGGGGCTATCGACTCTCAAGGGATATTGGTTAACATTCACTAGGTTAATAAAGCTTTAAGTAAATTTAATGTAAATTGAAACACTACCGTAAAATTATTGCCTTATTAGAAACATGCGTCAAAAAACTAGCAAGGAAATAACTAGCAAGGATTGAATCCTCGAGAACTAATTAATTATTTTATCACACTCCTGACACTCTTGACTCAGATTTACGGCAAAATGTTATGATTCAAGTATTTATGTTTAACTAATTTTAAATTTAAATTGAATAAATCTAATTATTTCATCAAAATAAGGACGCTCAAGACATAAAATTATTATAAAATTATTAATGTTTTTTTAGCACATATTCGCTGACGGTGTTCACTGGGAAAAATAAATGAGTCCCTTTGTTCAAATTAGTTATACACATTCTGCGCGTAGCAATGAGAAGGGGAGCTAAACTGGGTGTGGACAGCGACCACAAGAGCAAAAAGTGCTGCGCTATTCGGACAAAGTGTCACTCATTTCAATGAGTGTTGACGCCGCACATCAGTCAAGCCTTCGACAAACAAAAACGCAGCGCAATCACTGACGCCCAGAAGCGTAAACTGCGAGCCTCGCATGCGTACATGACTCATGTTATTACGTACACAGCCTCGCATGCGTACATGACTCATGTTATTACGTACACAGCCTCGCATGCGTACATGACTCATGTTATTACGTACACACGTACGTATAACGGCCACTGTTTACGTGCACACGGGGGTATGCACAACTGCTACGATATTTTACTATTAAATTAAAATCCGCTAAATTCATCAATACACCTCCCGCTGTCGCTGTTTCATCGTATTTCATATTCACCAGCCTAGTAATGTTTATGTAACTTGTAAGTATTTTTAAATTAGTTTATCCTATCACAACAAACCGATAGCTCAGTACTGTAACACCGTTAAACATGAGGACTTACTGAAGCTCCAACATCTAATTTGTCCACCTAGATTATAATAAATATTACCGAGGCTGCTACATTCAACAGCTGGTCTCTGTAACTATTAACCGAGATATTTCTATACATAGGAAGCATGATTCTAACTTATACATATAATGTTTTCACAATAGTTATAATGATAGCATGTCTCTCAATTATACAAACGATGTTTTCACAATAGTTGCAATGCTAGCATGATTCTCAGTTCACTTCACAATGCTAGCATTACTGTCAACTACAGCAAGTTATAGTGTTTATCCTTACTGTTACATTCAATCCCGGCGTGTCGGTGTTTGCTAAACATCATAACTCTCATCTCTCGCTCGCTTGGCATACAACTGGAAACTCGGACATATGAATATGAATAATTCCGATGAATAATTCTCGGGCATTATTCATATGAATATGAATAATAATATGAATAATAATATGAATATGAATAATTCCGATGTGAGCATCACGCGACGAAGGTTTGCTATTCGCACGCGTCAATATACAATATATTGACGCGATATATAATATATGATGAGTATAATTACTTCACTATATAATGCATTATATTTCAATGCACTAGCTTGCATTGCACGGCAGCACACTTGGTTCGTAAGCTCCTTCCCTCAAATTCGTAGCCTTCATTACTGGTTTCATTCACAGAAATGTGTGAGACTTTGTCTAAATAATGATACACTTATGCCCTTGTGTGGGTCATCTTGTCCCAGTTTTGCGTAGCAAACGAGCGTATCAGTGCTGCCTCTGAAAGTGTGTCTTTACTTGGACAATATTAATCGTCAATTTTACTGAGTGAAGACTGTAGTTAACTGACGTCAGTGGAAGCGTACAGTCTGTCATCGGTCACTACTGCAGTTAACTGACGTCAGTGGAAGCGTACAGTCTGTCATCGGTCACTACTGAAGACAACTGACGTCAGTGGAAGCGTACAGTCTGTCATCGGTCACTACTGAAGACAACTGACGTCAGTGGAAGCGTACAGTCTGTCATCGGTCACTACTGCAGTTAACTGACGTCAGTGGAAGCGTACAGTCTGTCAACGGTCACTACTGCAGTTAACTGACGTCAGTGGAAGCGTACAGTCTGTCATCGGTCACTACTGCAGTTAACTGACGTCAGTGGAAGCGTACAGTCTGTCATCGGTCACTACTGCAGTTAACTGACGTCAGTAGAATTTTTCAGTCAGCTACCGTTCTAATAAAACTTATTTACCTAATTTCTGTAATTATTTCAAAACAAACACGACCACCCAGGCCCTGAATGCGTATACTTTCTTCACGACTATATTTTCACAGAGCCTATTTACGACTATATTTTTACCGAGCCTATACATACGACTATAATTTTACCGAGCCTATATATACGACTATATTTTTACCGAGCCTATACATACGACTATATTTTTACTTTGTGCCATCACGATTGGTGCGTGCGGGGTCGCATTCATTGGAAATAAATTAACGACAATTCTGGTCTTTCCATAGAATACAATAGAAATCCAGAGACAGTTAAATAAATCACTGTTATTGACTATCCGCCACTTTTGTATTTTGCGCCAAGCAGCCAAATGTTGTAGGAAACATACCCGACAATATGCTTCAATGAGTTGACCGGATCTTCAAAAATCTGAGTTCATTGACAATGGGGGGCGTCATTCGTCCGAGGTCATCTTTAAAACTAAATGAAACAGAAATTCAGATATTTTATTTTTCAATAAAATTATACTGTAATTATATCTTTGCAGTTCTTTTTTATTAAGATTTCAAATCAGAAAGTTTCATTGAATCATCCTGTACAATGTACCGATATGGCGCTGGATCACAAAGGTATCTAGATGATCGTTCCTCCGCGATCATTCTGAGTGAATTTTTAAACCCCCATTTCAATATAATTCGTTTCGCAATAAAAAAATATAGGCCGAAGTACTTTTTTAGTAGCTGGCCTCAGGTAATACTTAATAGAGAGGACAGTCTTCACTAGCCTGACTCCATTACAAAATAATTGAGCTCGGTACACGGAAGCTATCATTACTGACAAGGAAGCTTCTTGCCGCACGTTAAAGGCTGAGGAATTCCGAGTCATGCCAAATATTTAGTTTATGACTAGGATTTGGTTTCTGTAGTCTACGAGTTCAACAGCGGTCAACTAATTCCATCAAAAGTAATAGCAAAATTGGGTTGGCATTACTCCATTGCCTGCAGGGCTGCTTCATTTGTTTCCAGGCTAACACGTTATCGTCAATTATTATCACGTTTATCGCAAATTTTTTGTTCATTTGCGATAATTGAAAATCGATCGCCATTGCGGCATTGGATTGGTTTTTTGACCAAGGTCTTTCGACGCACTTTGAATTTTTCATCTCTGACCTCAGGGTGGTAAAAATGTCGTCAAGAACAAATCAGATTGCTATCGCAAAATATTTATAGTGAACATTACGTACACAAGAATTAGTCACATGACTTCGCCATAGCATCGGAGGCGTGTAGTATAGTCAAGTGCAACGAGGGAGGGGAACAAGATCAACTATCACCACCGAAAAGTCACAATTATCATGTGAATGGTTAGAGCCCCGGCTGATGTGATTAATTCCCACTGAATTAAATACCAATAAACATTGTTAAATAGGATGAAGTGATTTTTTACGAAAAAAACACTGAAATCAAATATTGAATAGATTACAAACTGTGAACATTTAAAGGCGTGATACACGAGGAAGGGGGCAAAGCTCCCGAGTCCCGTTCAGAATCGATTCCTCTTTTGTGGAATAAATTCTAGCTTCGGAAAAATTGTCTTTTGCTAAAATAACCGAGTTTTTTAAGCTTCATTCTAAGAAATAACACATAAACTACTTACCTCAGCAGTGCGGGGGTTTGAGAACTCTCATGATTATGATGAGCGCGGCAACACACCCTACACTCAAGAGTCTCAACGACACACTAAATACAACTGCCAGACACTGCCACATCGGCCTGAACTTGAACTGCTGTTGCCATAGAAACGGCAGAGATCGGCCCCACCTGCTCATCTTTTCGACAATTCCGGAATCAGTAATTACATATCCGCATTGAAATTGCAGAGCAACTTTAATTTTCGGTAACGTAAAGTTCTCTGAAAGTTACTTTAATCTGTGTAACATCTGATCTTTTTTGCAACATGGCAAAATGCTAACGTCATAACCAAGTAACTGTTGGCAACATGACGAAATACTAATGTCATAACCCAGTAACTGTTAGGTACATGACGAAATACAAATGTGATAACCTTTTAACCGTTGGTCACATGGCCGGTGAACAATGTAGTGTTACAGCACTTACAAGTTTGACTTATTTGTTTAATTGCAAATCAACGGTCAAAAGTCCCTACCTCGATGAACGATCCAAAAGTGATAATGGTCTGCCATGCAAGGTTAAAAAATACACGTTCTCATTTAATTTCGCTTCTTTTCAAGAATGACAGTTGAGAGATAATTTGAACTAATTGGAGCGAATGGGAGACTATGATACATTTATACCAAGCCAGATAACAAATAGAAAAGAAGAATTTCAAGGCCCTCGTTATGATATAAATGAAGGTCACATAAATTTAAAAAAACAGCAATAAAAGTAAGCTAACAATAAATAAAAAAATATTGAATCTGTGATACCGTTTTGCTTTGTAATCATCGAATATTAGATCAACTAACGAGGGAGCCGATGGTTCAGAAAAATTGCGCCAGTGAAAAAGTCGTACAATTTTATTTAAAAAAAAACATAGCAATATAATCCACAGCGGAACCATAGAACACGGTTAACTAGCTACGCACAGCTACGTACGGTTGCCTGTTCCGTATCCTGGTCCTTCTGAAGCCGACTTTGTTTCGTTTGTTAACAAATTATTCACTAAAAAAATGATTAAATAATCTAAAGTAATGTGCAATCTTGAGTAATTTGTTGATATTGTACTAGCTGTGTCCTTAGTTGACCTCACTGAGATATGAAAAATTATTCATTTATCCTAATCAACAGTGAGCTCATTGGGCCATATAACGGAAAAAGTTCAGAATTATCGCAGCGCTGTAAGTACGGTACACAATAGCTTCCTCAATTGCCTCGTCTATGGGGACATAGAACTTCTTGGACGATAAGATAATATAAATTAATATCCAACGGCAAAGTCCTAACATGGCTATGAAGCAACCTGTCTAGAATAGAAAGACCCTGCGTGTATGTTGACAAAGATCTTACTGATACATAGAAAGAACATAAACAGAGGAATAAACCATGATGTACATAGGAATAAACCATGATGTACATAAGAATAAACCATGATGTACATAGGAATAAACCATGATGTACATAGGAATAAACCATGATGTTTCACTGTAGATGTAGTTGATTTCAAAAGTTCCCCAACCACACGGGGAATAATGAATCACTCGTCCATGGGTACCAGAGCCTTCATGGAGCCAGGCAGGAGGTGTGTGTGCACCATCTGCTCCTTGTTGATGAGATGTGTGGTGCGGTTCACGAGTGCCATGAGGGAATGCAGAGACGCTGCCCAGGAGTTGAGGCGCGCGCTGTGTTCAGGCGGAGTGCCAAAACTGACCACGCCTTCCAGCCTGTCTGTACGAGCGATGATCGTGCCACCTACCACAAGCTGGCATAGAAACTCCTCACACTCCTGCACATGAGATTCAAATTCAATTATCTCTTAAATAATAACATATATTATTAATAGTAACACTAATAGTATTTCATTATTTCTCTAGCTCAATTAAATTTCTAACCAAAAGTTACGATTTGGTTTTCAACACAAGCTGGCATAGAAACTTCTCACACTCCTGCACAAAAGCTTTAAATTAAATTATTTCTTGTAATAATAAAATATATAATTAATAGTAACACTAATAGTATTTCTTTATTTTTTTACTCAATTAAATTTCTAAATCAAAGTTGCGATATGGTGCCGTTCACCACTGGCATATGAACTCACACTCTTGCACAATAAGTGAACACAACGTCGTTACAGATTAATAGCATAACAATTTATAGTTAACTTTTGGCAATTAATTTCCGTATCAGCGTTTCTCCTGAAACGAACTTGCATGTATCAGAGTTTTTGGTAACAGAATCATCAGCTGCAAATTCAATGTAGTAAATGCTAATTCAATATTTTTTTCTGAAAAGGACTGGTAAATGTCCATAATAACATTTTTCCTATTCTCTCTATTTATTTTATCACTGTAATTTTCCATTTATTTCTAAGGTTGATAATAGATCTCTTGAAAAAATTTGGTTCCGTTCTTTTCCCCTGTAGAGAAAAGGTTGGACGAGGCGTAGAAAGAGAGTAAAGGTTGGATGACATCCAACGTCTCGTCCAACAGGTTGGATGAGAACAACGTGACCAATGACAACTTGACTTGCCAAAACTGACCTTGGGCGCCAAATCCAAGAGCTCTGCCATTCTGTCGAGCTTGATCCTTGTGTAGTACTTGGCCATCATGCGGATGTTCTGCACACAAATTAAGGTTAAACTCAATACGTTTGTTAAAAAAATTATTATTAAAGAGGGCATTTACTAGATAACCTACAACAATCAATGATAGAACAGCAATCCAAAAAACAGATAAGCGATGACCGATCATGAACAGGCAGCATTATCAAATGTAAAGTATACTACGTTCTCATAACTGCTGAAGCTCTAGTGAGCTACTAGTGATAAGTGCCCACAAACTGCACAATAAGAGGTGCACAGATGCAAAGAAATTTGTGGAGGAAGCTGACCAGTGGAAATGTGACCAGTGGAAATGTGACCATTGGAAAGCTGACCATTGGAAAGCTGACCATTGGAAAGCTGACCAGTGGAAAGCTGACCAGTGGAAATCTGACCAGTGGAAATCTGACCAGTGGAAAGCTGACCAGTGGAAATATGACCAGTGGAAATCTGACCAATGGAAAGCTGACCAGTGGAAAGCTGACCAGTGGAAATATGACCACTGGAAATCTGACCAGTGGAAAGCTGACCAGTGGAAATCTGACCAGTGGAAATCTGAATATTGGAAAGCTGACCATTTGAAAGCTAGCCAGTGGAAAGCTGACCGGTAGACTGCATCAGACAGTCACATTCCGTTCGTCCACTGTTCACATTGCTTACATTACATCAACAGCGCGCACTTGTGACAGTGAATTGGGTTCATTGTATGATCATTTGCCAGGCCTTTCACCTCTCCTCCATCGTTACGGCTTAGGCAAGACGCCCGACGGTACACATGTCAGAGACCTCAGGCAAGACGCACAACAAGACACAAGGCAGGCACTCACGTACAAGACACAAGCCAGGCACTCACGTACAAGACACAAGCCAGACACTCACGTACAAGACACAAGGCAGGCACTCACGTGTTCCACGACTCTGTTGCGCAGCTGCGTCCACCTCTCGTTGCCCTGGTCGCTGTCTCGACTGAACACGTCGGTAGCGTCAGAGCGAAGCTCCGCCTCGTACACCGAGCACAAGCCTGACCATTTGATGAGCTCCTCCGTCGCAAATAGCTGCAGTAAGTTCCTGCAATACAATGTAAGATGATAGTAATATCTTCCTCTATATTTAAGACTTGTTAGACATACATACAACTAACGTTCATACAATATATACGACTACAAACTTATGCATCCTCACAAGGGTCAAGTAATGCCATTTCCTAAATTTCGGTTTCTTGGATAATTAAATTTAAAAATTATCACACTATCTGATGTCCAACAATAATCAGGGGCAACATTAAGGGCAAAAACAGACTACCTGTAACCAATGGGCTTACTTATAGAGTAGTATTTGGGCCAACATTGGGTCCATCTTGACTCTATGCAAGAGATCATTTTGTTCATTGTCGTAGGGAGCCAAGATCAGGTAGAGCACCACATGCTTTAAAACCTTCAGCTTTTCAGCAGTTTCTTCGGGGCTCAGCTCAGCAGGTTTAGCTTCTTCAACTTTTTGGGCAAACTCAGACTTTTTGGTGGCTTCGGACTTCTTGGGAGGAGACTTCTTTTCATCTTTTGATGAATCTTTTTTTGAGTCTGAAGATTCACTGTCATCAATACCAGACTTGTCAGAGGTATTGTAGATGGCGAGGTAATGGCGGCAGATGCTCAGGAAGCTTCCCTCGTGACTATCAAGCTCAATCATCAGTCTGTATTGAACAGATTAGATTGAAATTAGTCTCATTTCCGGGATTTAATGCAATGATAATGTTTGATTTGAGCTAAACAAAACATATATATTGAACGTTAACCAAAGAATAGTAATGAAGTTGAAAAGTATTATGTGAAAATAATAATATAACACCTAATAATATCATGCTAAACAAACTGTAGCATGATATTATAAGGACAATCATCAGCTTTGCACCGTAGGAATTTTACAGTCATTAATAATATCAATAAAATGTTACCCTTATGAACAAAGATTTTAATTCCATCAATATTAGATGCACCGTGCATCATAACTGAATAACGTAATCTAATTGTAGATTATATTAATTTATCACAACAGGAAAAATGATTTACAATGCCTACACTCATTATCAGAATCTATTGAGGATCACAGCAAAAGAATAATATTGTTACAATAGGAAATCTTAACCTGTAGAACTTGAGTTTGAGGTCGTTGACTTTGCCGGAATCAAAGAACTTGATAGTAACTTTCTTGCTGATGATTTGTGTGCGGACATAATCTTTACGGGCCAAACACAGCCGCATTTGTTCGAGGATCATCTCCACCTGCAGGCAATAGGAATGAGATTGACAGTTCATCACAAGATTAACAGTTCATCACAAGATTAACTGCTTATGTGGGAATAAAATCTAAATTAAACTCGCGTTGCAATATTTAAGAACTGACTGGTTAATAAAAGCAATAAATATAATTTGTCAATTTTTGTTTGTTTATTTGCAAGTGTAGGAAGAAATATATTCCTGCAAATATAAAGATCAAGTTATATGATTCTAATCAGGTTGGGATATTACCTGGAAATTATAATTTTAATGCTGGAATTCTGATGACAGGGAGAAATGTATTCAAATTTATGAATTCCAATATGATTTCTACTTTAGTAAGTAAAACTTTTATTCGGAAATATAAAGTTCACTTTTCCCTCAAACTTCAAATGAGGAGTTAAACTCAATATTATGTGCTGCCTGTGGATTTGATTGAGTCTCTGTTTAATTAAGACAACTTAGTTCCAAAGTTGTCAACAAAATTCAGGATAATAGTTTTTATAAAAAACAAAATTCTCAAATTACAAAGATTATCTGTAAAGGGGAACTTAGAGCTAACCTGCTAATATAAAATGAATAAAACTATGATATATATTTTGATTATCAACAAGTGTTTTTCCAGCCCAAAACTAACATTTATTATAATAGCTGTGCTTACACAATATTTTTATTTGACAAACTATACCTTTTCCTTTTTCTCCATGCTACCAAAGGTCTCAACAGGCATCTCCTGCATGGCTGACGCTGCTGCCTCAAGGTCTCCGTCTGCCTCCTTCAGCAGCGCCAGCTTGTGAGTCAGTCTCGCTCTCTCAACTTCAACATAAATCTTACCAGCAGTCACCGTTCTGAATAAAGTTCAAATTATTACAGATTTTTGCATTGAGAAATACATATTTGATGGCGAATAAATTTAAAAAAAGCAAGAAATATTGGTATTTTACTGCAATTTAGTATATTCAAGTTTTATTTCTCAATTATAATTATTTAATCATTTTTGTTCTTGCCTGTCACTGAATACAAGAATTATTATAATGATACTGTTACAAGGAGGTCCCTTGGCAACAAGATTGGCTGCTGGCAAGACAGATATACAGGGCTTTTAAACAATATTTGGATGATGGTCTTCACTTCTGCTAAAACCTTCCCAAACTATGTCCTCAAGTAAGCATTTGTATTTCTTGGCATTAAGTTAAGGGGACAATTGCAACAAGAGAGAAACAAAAGGGATACAAATGAGAAACAAGATGGCAAAAAAAATGAGGCATGGGGATCCAGTCAATTTCAGACTTTTATAAATCAATTTGCCAGTATGAAAATGCAAATATATATTCCAGTATGTAAATGCAAGAATACCACTATATAAACCTAATGAGTGCACTTCATCCATAAGTCTCACACTTCAAGCAATTTGTACAAGCGCAACTATGTGTTATATCTCTACTTCAATTGCAGTCTTCCCCCCTTTGCACCTCATGATTACTAATAAGGACCCTCAATAGGAATCTTTTACTTCTTTCCAAGGGACAGAAAATGTGGATGTCTTGAACAATATCAACAATATCACATAAACAGCACAGATAAAAATCATAATAAAGTTATATAATTTCATAGCCATCAATAGGACCAGAAACATTAAAAAAATAAGTTCCAACATCTCTATCTGCTTTAAAATTATCCAGCCTCTTGATTCCCCTGGATTAAAAAAATTGAAATAATAATAACTAGCCAAATAAGCAAGAGACCTAAATTACAAATAGACAATTAAATGTACAAACAGACCTGAGAGTGTCCATGAGTTTGAGCTTTGTATCCTTGTCTGGAGCTTGATCCACATATTCACAGCACCTCTGCACCATCTTTGTGACAGCCATCTTGATCTGCGACCTCTTCTTGGTAAGTATGACAATATTTTCATTGAGCAAATCCCACTTGCCAGCCTTGAAACAAATCTCAACAATGGCCACAAGGACTCGACTTGTGGAGTGAGCATCACCGCCCTGCAATCAAGTGCAATCATTTTAGAAAAAACTTAGGTTAGTCATGTCAGGGTTTATGGAAAGAATATGATGGTCAACTAATTGATAAATTAATCCTATCCTATAACAACTTGCTTAGGAGAAGATTTTGAAAATGATTGCTGAGAAGTTGAAGCATTTGCAGGGTATTATAAAACAAATATATCCTCACAGTTCTTGTCTGCTTCTCAAGTCCCATCAGGGACTCTACAGCCTCAGCAACGTTGCCCTCTTCAGCCATCCTGTAGGCTACAGGGATTTTCTCATCACATGTAGTCGAGTAGTCAACCTCCATCTTGACGAGGCGACCTCCATCCACAACGATGCTTTCTCCTTTCTTGGGCACATCTTCTGCCTTCTCTTTTTTATCTGATGCAGCTGTCATTCTAAAGATTCACAATAATATTTATCTGAAATTAAAAAAATGAATTAATGAATCAATGGGCCAAATGAAGACTTCAAAAATGATAGCAATTACATACCAACAAACAGCAATAAGGGACTGTTTTGAGCATTTTTCATTAATAACTTCTTACCATGAAACATTTCATAAACAAGTTTAAGCTCATTTTAAGAATCTGTGCAAGGGCTATTGTATGGCATCTCCAAAAATTTCCATATGCTATTTTGAGGTGCCAGACGCAAAATAAAAGCCTCCCAAATTACAGCTTGGAATGTTGCAATAAGGGACACTTTAAATAAAACTTAATTTAAACGTTTGAAGCATGCAGAGTGTACTCATCTATTACTAACAGTACCTACTCTGAAGTCTTCCTCTTCCTTTGTGGATGATGTAGATGTAAAATAAATGAAATTTTCTGTAATTTTTACTTGTTTTTCCTTTCTTGATATCATAGTGCAATTCTATAGGTGATATAAAAGAACCTGGTCTTATGATTTTGAACGAATTAAGGCTTCTTTACAGATTGATGGGTGCCTCACCACACGACATAGGTATCTACTAACACGTTGCCAAACAAAAGCTGGTGCAACACTGAAGTTTAGGGACAGGGTAGTCATGGCAGCAGCTGCGGCAGCTGGCATTGTTTGAATTTTTTATTCTGCATTTGAATTTGAAAGCCCCAGTTTCAAGTCCTTAGGAGCCTAAATTTCAGCCTAAAACCTATTAAAAATGTACATTTCTGCATGGATTTTAATGCTGTTAACATTGAGAAACTTCAAAGTGTCTCTCATGCAAGAAATACATGGTTAAAAAATTTCAATTTTGATAAAACTGACTCACTCCAAAAGCTAGGGTTCCAAAACCTAGATCACTCATTATAATATTATGATTCATATCACTCAGTAATTTCAAGTGTTGTTCATTTCTGAATTAAAATTAATTTAGACAGTATTTCTTGCACAAGAGAAACTTTGTAGTTTCTAAATGTCAACAGCATTAAAATTTATGCAGAAATGTACATTTTTAATACCGTCAACCGGGGCTACTTGGGACAGATTTGATCGTTTTTTTGTTAATAACTGTTAATAACTTCTTATGATGAAACATTTCATAAACAAATTTAAGCTCATTTTATAGCTCTTTGCCAGGGCTATCAAATGGCATTGTCAAAAAAATTCCATATGCTATTCCTAAGGTGCCAGACGCAAAATAAAGATTGTCCCGAGTAGCCCCGTCGGTCGGGGCTACTCGGGACAATGGGAATAAAACTTCATTTCAAAACATTTGAAGCATGCAGAGCGTACTCATCCATTACTAACAGTACTCTGAAGTCCTCCTCTTTCATTGTAGAGGATGTAGAGGTAGAATAAATAACATTTTCTGTGATTTTTACTTGTTTTTCCTTTATTGATATGATATTACCATAAACATTAATTACCGTCAACTGGGGTGACTTTGGCCTCCTTTTTGATTCATGCTGGGGTCGTAAACGCGGGGTCGTAAACGCCGGGGTCAGAAACGCTGGGGTCAGAAACGCCAGGGTTGTAAACCAGGTCATAAACGCCGGAGTGACTTTGGCCATTGTTTATGACCGTTTATGACCCCGCTTTGGCCATCATTATGAACGCGGCCGAATCCCCCAGTTGACGGTACCCTATTGTTGATGGGATATTACTGTATTATTGATGTGATATTACCGTATCCATGAACATGCCATTGAGCATTTACAACAACCTTGTTCACTGCAAGCTTCATATCGCAGCCTTATAGCATTTTTTTCTGTATCTGTAAGCATACAGGACGGCTTGTAATTTGTGTGACGATAAGTGAACTTTTTTCGCTCAGCGAGGTAAATGTAATCAATATTCTTTGTTTTTAATCAATTTGTTCTTAACTGGAGCCTTTGCTAACTGAGGTTCTACCGTAAATGCGTTTTTGGGGGTGTCACTAATAGCCCCGGGGGGGTGTCCCGAGTAGCCCCGCCGTGCGGAAATGGCTGCCATTTCTTTTTGGAATGAGATAGGCAAATTCTGTCAATTACGTTTTCAAGCCGACACCTGGGTGGAACTTTTATGTAAGTAAAATTTTTTAATACGGCGAATATTTTTTTTGCTACATACCTTAGCAGTTGTAACTTTACAAAATATAGTTTTTCACAATTTTTTTCAGGAATTTTTCAAAGCAAGTAAATGTAGTATTTTTCGACTTCCTTTATACTACATAGATAGGAAAGATGTTGACGTTTACGCCACTATTTTTAGTTTTGCAATATTCCAATTAGTTTCGCTACTACAACAGTTTTACGTGTCGGAGGCCTGTCCCGAGTAGCCCCGCTTGTCCCGAGTAGCTCCGGTTGATGGTATGTTTTAGGTTGAAATTTAGGCTCCTAAGGACTTGACACTGAGCCTTTTAATTTCAAATTAAAAATTCTCAACCAATCAAGCTGCTGCACTGGCTGCTGCCAAAGCTAGCTAAATCCATCCCATTTTCACCAAGGATGCCAATACATGTTACTGTACCACTTAAAAATCCATACTCAAGCACACACAAACCTCTGTTGATACTTGTAAAATAATATATAATGCATACAATTTCCACTAGATATCAGCTATGATGCTATCCAATTAGCCAAGTCATAAAATAGTTATCAAGTACACAATCATGTATCCCAAAGCCAAATCTAGGCTTGTGTTAAGGAACAGGCTAGCATCTTCCAATGAAATAAATTGCAAATGTTGCTGTAATCAACAAGTTAAAAATTATTTTCAAAACTAAATACGATAATTAATCAAGAGTTGTGTTCAAAATAGGTGAAGTTGTTTTTGATGGAAAATACAACTTGATATATACTGTTAAGTTTCATCTTTATTTCAAGAAATGAAGTCATCATGAATTAATTTACGACTTGCCTGCTAAATTGTAGATCAAAGTAATGCATATCTTCTCCATGCCAGGGTTGGTGATTTTTTTTATTTAAAAAAAAAAAAATCAAAAAAATAAAAAATCTATGATTTTTTTTTATTTTTTCATGATTTTTTTTATTTATTTGATTTTTTTTTATTTTTTCAGCTTTTTTGTCTTTTTTGAGGTGTTATTTTTTATGTTGCAATTAGCCTACTAACAATAACAGTATATGGATCATAATGGATGGCTAAAAAGGGCACTTATTGCCTTCAATAATGGCCAACAGGCCAAGGTGGTGTTTCCCACTTAGGGATTTTTGGGTAAACAATTATTGATAAGTCTATTCATTAGCTTTGTAAAGTTTGTATGAAGCAAGGTAATGGGCTGAATATTGACCATTTAACTTGCTTCAATATACAAAAACACTTCAGGAATGCAGATCTCCTAAACATTGAAGAGTCACATAACAGATATAGGTAGCTGATAGCACAGTGCACAGCACTATCAATAGATCTACTAGTTTTATGTCCTATAGATCTACCAGACTCTACCTTCTATACACACCAACTAGTAGTGACTGAGTGACTGACTGCACTGTTCCTATTTAATTCAGACCAATAAACCAATACTAAACATAAAGTGAACGATAACCAAACAAACCTCATACGACTTGAAACGAGACTTAAGTTATGAGAAAATCTAATACTATTAGAAATAAACATGTGCACAATTCAAATATTTTATATCCATTCACTGCATTTAATTATTTTATATATAGTCTTATAATCGTAATTGTTTTGTTTCTAGTTTTAAATTCACATATTTAAAGATTGAAATTAAATATTTTAATTAGAATACTCATATTAGGGTGGAAAATATTTCTAGTTGCCTAAAAGGTCAATACAATCTCAACCTCTCAATATATAGGGTGGAGCAGAACCGATTGAGCAGTTTTGAAGTAAAATAAAAGAGTAATGGAGGTACATAAAGAAGAAAGTTAATTTTCCTAGAGGTTAGCATAACATACCGTTTAGAATACGTATGTTTTGAAAACAATATCTGGAAGATGGGGCTGTTAGCTGCAACACACTGTTGGAGTTGTTCTCAGAAGAGGAAGTAACCATGACAGTGAATTCTGATTGCTATGCTGCAATGTTGCAAAATTTCTTGCAGCCCATGATGGAAAACATTGTTGAAAATGATGCATTGAGAGACCTGTGGTTCAAGCAGGATGGGGCTACAGCCCACACAGCCCAAATGTCACTCAACGTTTTTAAACTCATGTTTCCCGGACGTCTGGTGTCTCTGAGGGGTGATTTGCAGTGGCCTGCAAGGTCACCTGATTTGAGCATTTGCAATTTCTTTCTTTGGAGTCATCTAAAAGAAAGGGTGTTCAGAAGTTGCCCTCACACCCTACCACAGCTAAAGGGACGGATTCTTGCAGAGGTTATGGCCATGCCTCGCCATATGTGCGAACGTGCTGAAGGAAACTTATAAGAACGACTCAAACAGTGTGTTGCAGCTAACAGACACCATCTTCTTGATATTGTTTTCAAAACACAAGTATTTTAAATGGTATGTTATGCTAATCTTAAGGAAAATAAACTTTCTTCTTTATGTACCTCCATTACTATTATTTCGCCTCAAAACTGTTCAATCAGTTCTGCCCCACCCTGTATAAGCTAGCTAACACATTCAAATAGTATATTGTAATCAATATATAACAAATAGTCAAATAGTTAAAGACTACTTATAGCCTTATAAAAAATTAGCTAAGCTGCTAGCTACGTACAATGTATTGCACACTTGATGCCTCTGTACCAAAAACATTCAATTTATTGGAACCTAATACACACTAAACGCAACAAGTTTATATACCAATTTGTCATTCATAGTACATTTATACTAAACCATGAATAACAATACCTCAATATAAATTAAAGACTGCCACTCAATATTTTTAAATATATGAAAAAATAAAAAAAAAATAAAAAAAATCATGATTTTTTATAAAAAAATCAAGTGATTTAATCACATGATTTAATCATTTTGATTTAATCATTGCCAACCCTGCTCCATGCTGACATGCAGTTCTATATGGTT